GTAGACTTTCAGGCAGAAGCTAAAGGCTTTGTATTCCTGCCAGCCCTTTGAATGTCAGATTGTGATTTCTTGGATATTCTGATATTCTAAGTCTCTAACTGCATGTAACGACACTATTTGCTGTTAGGCTAACAGTATCTCTGTGGCCCAAGAAGCTTGGGTAAGCACTGATATTTACTCCTCTACCTTTCCTAAGCCCTTCCTGGGTGAGAACCTCCCTTTACTCAGCAAGACTTGGGTTTCCTTCAACTACATAAAGGTGTTACAGCAAATAGGTTGATCTTATCATGCGATGCAAAAATGAGGAACAAAATAACCATGACAGTCCTGTGTAAAGACCTGGCTATGAGTCTTAAATGGGAGGTTAATTCTGGCAGAGCAGCGTATTGCTCAGGGCTGACTTATGGCAATGGCTCTGGCTCTACACATTACTGTTCTGTTACAGACCTGCAAGCCTGCCCAAAGTCATTCCTGCACCTTGGCCTTCCAGTGGGGCTTGTCACAACAGAGCGTTTTTCCTCTTGTCTTTTAAATGGGCAACCCTGATTGATGTTGCTATGACTGTGAGGATGTAGCAGGCTTTTATTTTAAGACTTGGTTTGGGAATGGCATCAGACAGCCTGTTGCTTGTAGAGTTGGTCTCCCCCGTGAGTGTGTTGCCCTTCTTGGGGAAGGTTAGAGCTACCTCCAGGATCTGGGTTAAGAAGCTGAGAGATCTGGCAGTATTAATGCTGATACTGGAAACGGTAGCAAAAATTCTCTGAAAGGGCTTGGAATGTGACCTCTGCAATCTGATCCAGGCTTGATGCAGGATATTGCCTTACCGATGTTGCATCAGAGGCCTTCAGCTCATCCAGTGCTATAAATTAAGTATATTGGAGCCTGCTGTTTAGCCTCTGATGGGATTGAAACTCGGCTTGTCTTGATATCCTGCTGCACGGGGAAAAACAGCATTTGATTGACCAGCAGAGTTACAGTGAAGGTGCAGACCCTCCTTCACCTGAGAAATTGCTTCAGCGATTTCTGGGGTGGTCTTCTGCTGGAGATGTTGACCCGTACAGTGCTATTGGCAAAAGCAGCGTGGCGGTGTCGTGGAAAGCCCCCCGCATTGAAGTGTCAAGTGTTTCGTGGCAGCTCAGGCTAAGGTGCCAGACTTGCCTCACCTAACTGCCACCAGCATGCCTTCCCTTCTGGTGACCGTATGCAGTGCAGCCTTCACTGCACCAGGGCAGATGAGCAGGCAGGAATATCTTAGCTGTAGCATGGAGATGTGGCAGGCAAGCTCTGAGCAGACCAAGAGGCTGTGGTGATGGCAGTTCTCAAAGGCAGGTTAATCTTGGGAGACTTGTTTTCCCCTTTCCAGTGTTTCTCTAATTAGGGTAGCTAAACATACTCTTGTTATCTAGTGTCCTGCTGATCTTATGTTTTCTCTTAGCTTCCTGCTGGGAATGCAGGTGCTGGATGGCTTTCCTTTCTTTCTTTCTTGGTTTAATTATAAACTGAAATAGGGATGGGGTTGTAGGCTCTTCCCTCCCCACTCCTGGTGCTGAGGGACACTGTTGCCGTCTCCAGTTGTGATACGCGTTTGCGTTTCTCTTCTGTGTATCACTGCAGTGCTCTATCTTACTGAGAGCCTGGGTACTGCTAGAAAGGAGTTATGGGATTAACTAGGTATCCTTTGTGCTTGGTAAGTTCCCAGCAAGCTCCCTGGAGGAATCAGTGCTTCTCCACAGGTGTATGTTCCATCTGTCAGTGAGTTTGTTGAAAGGATTTTGACAGGCAACTTTTTTTCCATAATCCTTAATAGCTTCCACTTTAAAACGTTTATGACAAGGTAATCCTACTAATCTCCCTGTAGTTTGAATAAATTTGTCCTCCTGCAAGACTCCTCTGATGAAAGGAAGTAATTCTACTTCTAAGAGATGCTTTCTGCCGTGATAAATATCTGCAAATTTGATTGTGGGGTAGCTTTAAAGCGTACCTGCCTGGTCTGTGATAGCAAGAGTGTCTTGCTAAAAGCAAGACTTCATTTGGCTATGAACCTTCATAATTAGCGTCAAGACCAAAAACTGTTGGAATCGGTGACTCCCTCACTGCTGTTGCAGTGTTAACTGTCCATGTGGCTTCTGCCAGACACTTGAATTTGAGCCAGGAGGTAAGAGAACACTTCAGGTTCAGGTTGGAAAAGGGTTTCTGGAGGTCTCTAGTCCGACCCTTCTACTCAAAGCAGGGCTACCTAGCTCAAGTTGCTCAGGGTCTTGGGCAGCCAAATTTTGAGCATCTCCAAGGGTGGACAACTCATAACCCCTAGGGCAGGGGGAAACCTTACTGTGCTCCAGTATCTTTCGAAGATGGCTTCAAGCCACGGTATCTTTAATCTGTTTGTGCAGATGTCATTCAACTAGAGGGAAGAATGGGCGGAATCATTTCAAAGTGAAGTCCTATAAAAACGGACAACTAGAGTCCTCCAAACTGACAGTGCAAGGCAGTGTGAAAGAATATAAATAGCTTGCTACAGTAGTATACTGAGAGCAATACACAATTTGCTGGTTGGATAGAAAATTCTGCCCAGTATTGAGGGTAGGGCAGGGGGTTTGGATCCCTGAAATTAAAGGCAAGGAGGTCTGTCCTAGGGGATTTCTCTGATGCTCAGGGTTGCTGTGAACTACTGCAGAACCTTCAGCCTTTGCCACCTATTACTTCAGGTTAAATTGGAGGGTGGCTTAGCCTGTTGCTGTCTTGCTGTGTGCAGGGCTAAGCTGCTGCCACATGCCCCTCCGCAGGAAGTAGCGGATCACACGAAACCAAGGGCTGTGTGGCTAAACAGCTGCTGCTAGCCTGACTAGGAGGGGTGGGATGCAGATTAGTCTCTTGGCATTGAGAGCTGTCAGTTGGCCTGGGTGTTGCATGCCCTCCTTGCCTTGGAGCGTGAAAGCTTGGGCCTGTCTTGGCACACTGTCCCCTGCACTTTGTCCTATATCATTGGTGACTGTTTATCGATAGTCACAGAAGACTCTGCCCTTTTTAACATAACACCCTTTCTCTGGTCCCTCAGCCATCTTTTACTCTTGATACAGAAGACAATTGTGCCCAGCTTGCACGCTGAGATCCTCTTCCGTATGGAAATAATCTATTTTGCTGGTTCCCCTGCCAGGGCTTAGAGTGCCCTGTGAGAGCAGTACAAGTCTGTCTCACATGCTAAGACAGGAGGGCACCCTGCAGTCTGCCACAATAGTGGGAAGGGTCAGTGGAGGCTTTTTTTTTTTTTTTTTTAAACTGCCTCTGTCTTGAGGAAGAGAAGTAGAGGGAGTCCAGGCACTGGGGTACCCTGCATGCTTCTGGAAACTAATGCTTAGCTATAGCTTGTTTTTAGGACAATGCATTAGCCAGGCTGTAGCGGTAGGGGCTGAGCAGCTGCAAGGGAGAGGTGAAGGCGTGAATAGATCTTACTACAATAAACAGTCCAGTATGGTACAAGCTATTATGCATCATTCACATCAGTCAAATGAGACTCTGGGCTGAACTATCCTAAACTTTCCAGCACAAGCCCTTGGCTTCCTGGACACCGTCATGAATGTGATGTCAAGGCCCAAAGAAAACCATGTCCTTGCAATGCTCGTGAAAAGGACTATTTGCAGGAGCCTTTCTGGTCCGAACCATTATCAAATCCTCATGGAAAGTGACTGTACAGTGAAGAATTACAGGACCCTTCCAAACGTGCTCTGTTTGCCTGTCTCGGATACAGAGTACCCAGCGAAAGAAGCCGGGAGGGTGTGTGCGCATGAGCAGTGTGGGTATGCTCTTCAGGGAGGGGGACAGCAGCTCCCCTGTGGGCTATTAATGATACCCAGGCTCAAAGTAACATTTGTTGAGGAATGGTTGGAACCGTCTTTAGTCAGTTGGTGCAGATATAACTACAAGAATGGAGCGATTGTATGGAGCAAGCTGGCTGCTGCAGTGTCTTGCGCAGTTGTACTACCGCAGGAGGCTGTGGAAAGAGCTGCTCTAAAGGTGTGGAGGCGTGCGTGCAGTGCGCAGCATGGAGTCAACGGGACATGAGCCCTTCACCGAGCTGTCTGCTGCCTGTAAGGCAGGGTAGCTGGTGCAGCAGTTGGCTGGCTGCCTCGCCATTGTCAGAGTACTGCCCCGGGTGGCTCCAGCCAGCGATGGATTTGTGGGAACTGGAATGGAACCACAATATCAAGCGCGTTGCTTCCCCGTAATTGAATCAGCCAAGACAGCGTTTGGCAGCCTACTTGTGAAATGGCTCTATACTCTGTCGTCTCCTTAATCATTCTGTTGCTGTGTGCTATAATGACTAAATTGCCACGTTGGGTGAGGCAGGTAGAAGTGATACTGTGCGTTAACGCTCTAATCTTCAATGAAGAAAATCCTGTGTGGGAAGAGCATACTCTTACCACGTGAGCTTTTAAATCCTTATCTCCATAGATGCCTTAAGGCAGCTATAATTTTAACATCTAACGTATTCTCTAGGCATCTCAAAAGCACGTACCGTGCTCATGGGAAACGGAGAAGATGAACACCCTGTAGCTGAATTTTCCATATTGTTAATCCATTCAGCTAGTTTGTAACTGTAGAACACCTCTACCTTCTTGCTTTGACTCTGTTCTTCCCTTCTGCTTCTTCTGATGCTATTTCTGATGCTAGTCTGATGCTATTTCTGCAGGTGAAATTCATCCTGTTCCCAAAGGATTTTTCTGATCTGGAAAATCCTGAGCTTCTAAGAGTTGGAGAATACCTTGAATAAAACTGAACCTACCCCTTTTGCTGGGGGACTGGACCACAGCATGGCTTCCCAGCCAGCTCCCTCTGGGAGGAGAGTGGATGTCTGATGATAAATTGGGATTTCACGAGCTGGCTGTGTTCTTCTGCGCCTCTCGAGACGTGTGGGAGTGCCTGAATGCTAAGTAATGACGGGAACGGCAAGGGACTACAGCTTAACCCAAGTCTTTCTCTTCCTTCTTCCTCTCTCAATACAGGTGACAGAACTAAATGAACCTCTGTCCAATGAAGAGAGGAATCTGTTGTCCGTAGCCTATAAAAACGTAGTGGGGGCACGGCGCTCTTCTTGGCGAGTGATTAGCAGCATTGAGCAGAAGACATCTGCTGATGGTAACGAGAAGAAGATAGAAATGGTACGAGCCTACCGTGAGAAAATAGAGAAGGAATTGGAAGCTGTGTGCCAGGATGTGCTGAGCCTGCTAGACAACTACCTGATCAAGAACTGCAGTGAGACGCAGTACGAGAGCAAAGTCTTTTACCTGAAGATGAAAGGGGACTATTACCGCTACCTGGCTGAAGTGGCCACTGGTGAGAAGAGGGCGACCGTGGTGGAGTCTTCGGAGAAAGCCTATAGCGAAGCTCATGAGATCAGCAAGGAGCACATGCAGCCGACCCATCCCATCAGGCTCGGCCTGGCACTTAACTACTCAGTTTTCTACTACGAGATCCAGAACGCTCCGGAGCAGGCCTGCCACCTGGCCAAGACGGCGTTTGACGATGCGATTGCCGAGCTGGACACCCTCAACGAGGACTCCTACAAGGACTCAACGCTGATCATGCAGCTCCTTCGCGACAACCTAACACTCTGGACAAGCGATCAGCAAGATGACGACGGTGGAGAAGGCAACAATTAGACCCCCAGATGGACTGGCAGCCGCACGCTGATGCTAACTACTGCAGTCTTTATTTTTGCCTCTTTGACATTTTTGCCAAAACACCACTAGTGGAAGTCAGGCTGGCTGTGCTGGTATGGAATAGCAGCCTCACTGGCATATGGACTGTTCTGTAGATTATTAATACAAGTGGAGCTGTCTTTAATTTAACTTTATTGCTAGAAATAAAAGGGTTTTAAGATGAAATAACTTGAATGGAATGGCCCTCGTTTTTAAGAAAAGCAACACAAAAAGGAAGTTCTGTGGTTCCAGTAAGGCTTATGTGCATTTGTTTCTTCAGTTCAAGTGCCGTGTGTTTGTTACCACGCAGCAGGGTGTCTCTCCGGAGCACCCTGCCTGTCAGGGCATAGCTTAAAATCCCCAAGTTGAAAAGGAATATTAAAAAAATAAAAGAATTTGGGACTTGTAAAGCCCCAGGACTTAGGCCATTTAACCTTTTTGTTAAGATATTTATTAGGGTAGCTTACAGTATTAACACTAAATTGCAGTTTACAGTATTTCTACATTACAGCCATATGACATCAAGCCTTTGACTGTCTGTTTTCTTTTGCTAGTTCTTTTGGCTTGCCTTCCTAATCAGTCCTCGCCTGTGGACTGGCTTAGCTATTCTGTGTCGCCAAGGCAAGAAGACTGCCCGCCCGAGGAACATCAAAGCTGCTCTAGTTTTCGGTCAACAGCTTAACAGGTGCTAGGCTAGCGGCTGTTTAAACTATTTTAGTCCACAGCAAAAGGTTTAAGAACTTAATTAGAAAAGGGGGAAGTGTTTAAACTAAAATGCCACTAAATAAAGAGAATTCAGGTCTGTATGTCATGTACTGTGTCTGGTATTTCAAAGACCATCCTGATTTAAGGTGCCACAGCTGCTTCCTCAGGGATTGCACTGCCATTTCACTCTGCCTGACTTTCTCCCACTGTACCATGAGGTTTGTCAGCAGATCTCTGGCACCCAGGCTCCCTTGTTTGTCATCAGGGAAGCTGGGTGCGTTTTCTTTCTCCTGGGGAAGCTTGTGGTGTAATGAGTGAACTTCAGGAGCTTAGAAACTAATTTGGTAGAGAAATCCACACGGGAAGAGCTACAATCATAGACATTTCTATCAAACATCGGGAGCCCAGGAACTTAGTTCTCTTCTTAACAAAATCTTTTCCAAGTCTGTCCTATTTGACTGGGGGTGGGAGACGGGGCACCTGAACTGCCTAGCAGGTAATATTTACCCCATTTTGAGTAAATTTTTTTACATAACTGTTGGAAGTTCACTGCTGTTCTCTTCGGCTTGCGGAGTGCTGTACCACGTAGCTTTTTAACTAAAGCTACGCAGTAGGGGAAAATTGCACTCATGCATTTTTAAAACAGGCTTTCATTGTCCCTTTTGAGAGTCGGTCTGTAAACAGCATCGTGGTGTTGCACGCACGGTACAGTCAGTTCTGTTGTTCGGTTGCGCGGGGAGTCTGGCGCTGCCGGACTTGGCTCTGGCTCTGGCCCCTCAGTAGCAGTCAAATGAAGTTATTTACCCCCCTCCCCTCCCTTTTTCAGGGAGCGAGCAGAGATGAGTATGTAGCTGAGGTTCGGAATGAGATTGCCCCAATGATACTAGAAAAAACTTTCTGAGTTGGACCCCTTAACGCGGAAAGGCGCAGAGCCTTGCTCGCAGCAGCAAGCGCAGGCGTTAGGTGAGTGCACTGTGCGCAACACCCCGTCGCTCGCAGGAGCGACGCCGGCCGGCCGGCCGCCACCTCTGCAGCTTAGGTAGCTGACAGAAACCTACAGAAAATGCCATGGACTGGAAGATTTATTTAGGCTTCTTAACTTTTATTTGATTTACCTTCATGTCCAGTGAGCAGTGTTGTCCCAGCTGTATAATTTGGAAGTGATTTACTGGAATTACAAAACCTGTTTTTATTTTCAGCTTTTGCTCTGGCTGCTTTAGAGAAATTATGCAGGAAAGATCGCACAAGAGGGCTAAAAATGGAGTGGGGTGGGGGACTTGATTTTTAAGCAGCTTGAATGGTTTCTTTCATTTTTTAAGAAATGCACTTGCCTATGATACTGTCTCTCCAGTGAAATGATTACTGCTCCATTACTCTATTGATACAATATTGTGCATGCTAGTGTCGTATTTCTATACAGTAGCTTGAAATTTATTAACTTATACTGTAGATGTTATGTATTCCTATGACAAAATAGTCTTCAAAAAATTTTTTAAAGTTTTTTAATTTATTTTTCTTTTGGGGGTAAAGTTTGCTCTACCAAATAGTGATCGTAACAAACTGATCTGTTATGGATGTTGCTATAGTGACATGCAATTATATATGATTTTGTTTTTAAAAAGGAAAAAAGCAAAAGAAAACACCAGTGTTAGCTTAATCTTAATGTCTGGTGTTCGTCATGGTGAAATTATAACTATTACAGTGTAGGAGAACAATGACTGTGTTCTTTGAATGAGCCTTTGTTTGTGCTTTTTGTCATGTTATGCAGTGAACTATTTTTAAGGTCTAATCAGTGATTATTTTTCCAACTCCGTGTTTCTGTAAGGAATTATTTCACACACGGACCATTCTTAGCAGTTTTCCTCAGTGATGGAATATCATGAATGTGAGTCATTATGTAGCCGTCGTACATTGAGCAAATAAACTTACAGATCTGATGTCAGTGCTGCTGAATTGTATTGCATGTGTCGAGTTCCTTCGCGGCTTTGCTGGGAGGAGGGCGAGCCTGGGGGGCCACCGGGAGCTGCCCGGCCCCCAGCACCTCCC